CCACCCCATATTGTACCACCAAATGGACAGCAGCATCAAAATATGTGTAGTGCACTGTGAAGCTCTCCTCTGGGATAGTGTCACTCACTGAATATCCCTTTGGTTATTCAGTGGGCCTTTTTGGGTACTATACCCAGTGGCAAAACCCTAAAATCGGGGTGTGGGCTGAAAAGAATGGACCCACCACCCTACCCTCCTCAACCTTTTGAATCTTGGCCTGTACTATCAATTCATTCCGCTTGAAAAGGAATGTGAAAACTATAACTGAACCGTAAGTAGTGGACCATGGCATTGTTGGGGTATTCGTTTAGCCACTGCCCCAATCCCTGCAAGTTAATAGAACTGCAACCCTTTTGGAGTCATGAAGGCCCCTTGGCTTTATTTTGGTATTGTGACATCCTTTGGGCCATCCCTTGGAGGCCGACCCTTGGCACAGTTCTTAGCCAAGTGATTACCATTGCAGATTGAGCAGAAGTACTAAAATTTGCATAGCTTGTGAGAACATGCTCCTTGTGCCAAAAACTCCCAACAGAGCAGCCTCTGAAGCTGCTGTTGCTTCTGAGAGGCTGCTTGCTACTGAAATGACCAGTTCCTATACCGAATGGTTTGCTACCCATGGTGATCACCTCTATCCCTTTTTCCCTGCACAAACCCTTTGAAATCAATGAACTTAACTGTAACAAATGTAACTCCCATTGATTTCAGAGCTCTTCTTTGGATGTGACCATACCTTGATCCAGACTAAGACTTGTAGAAGTAGCTCTTATCTGCAGATATTGCTGTTGCCTGGAGTGATATTCCAGGAACCTCTGTCCTATAATCTATAAGTAGATTCCAACTGACATGAGGGAACGATGTAGTTTATAAAAGCTTGGATTCTTGAAATCATTTCTTGCCCAAACTTTAAAGAAGTGTGTCAAGGGGGTTATGTAAGTCTATTATTTCAAGAAGTGAAGCAACCCACTGAAATAATTCTTAAAATAGTCATTATTAGTGAAAGCACCATTGATTTTAATAGGTCCTCTTTAAGAGCATGTCAATGGCAATTGGTTGGAGTCTACAACAGCACACAGCATCCTATTTAGTAATTTATTAGTAATCTCTGATCTCTATAGTCACCATCAACTATGTCTCTTGTTCCTTATGACAGTTTCTAGATGGTAGATGTAATTTTTTTCCTTCCATGAAAAGACAATGGTCCCATATACACTGTCATATAATTCAATTTGAAAATGCATTATATTGTCACTGTAAAACTTCTTGGGAGATGGGACTGTTTAATGGAGTTCAGTGTCTCTTGGGATATAAGAACTGCTTCTTGGCAGGGGGTTCGACTGGATGGCGCATGAGGTCTCTTCCAACTCTTTGATTCTATGATTCTATGATTCTATAACTGAGAGGAGCTTAAACTAAGAAATGGCAACTAACACATTTCTGATCAGAGCTCAAACCTGACCTAGAAGTGGCAGAATATGGATAAGGACTTTAGTGATGTATTATGAACTTTGCTTATGGGTCAGAACAGTCTGTCATGAGTGAATATTCTGTAAGCCAGTGTTTTCTATTCTTCCATTACTTTTTCTAATAATTGAAGCATGTTCATAGTCTATTCCAATACTATATTCTCCTGAGGCTTCTATATACAATACATTTCTTGAATTTCTCACTTAATTCTATTATGAAATGTTAACTACATTTCACTGTAAAGTTATCCATAAGACCAACTATTCAGTCCCATTATTTTCCCGCTCAGTGACATTTTCCCCAAAGCCAGATACAAATCTAAGAAAGGGAAAGTTTTAATTGCCTACAGTGAGACCTTTTCTCCAGGGATTTTTCTCCAACTTAGTATCCCACAAGGAAAAAATAACACTGTAATAAGTTTAAGATATTTTTCATAATGGAGACATTGTTCGGTGGAAAAACAATGGTAACAACAACAACAAAAACAGCACAGCTACTTCTTCATTGTCAAGTACATATTTTGTATGTACTATAAATCCATTGTACATTGTAAATAGGGGTTCAAACCTCCTAAAGGGATTACTCGAGATAGCTTTATGAAGCCTTCTGACTGTGTCCAACCAGTTGAAAAGCCCTGGGCTACTAAGCATATATGAGAATCCACCTTGTCTCAAATTCTGGGCAAAATGCTAGTCCATTTTGACCAGAATTATAAACCCAAATTGGCTGAACTTTTCTGGGGTCATGAACTGAAGTGAGGGAGGTTAAATTATTTTCCTCACAGCCCTTTAGTTTTGATACCTAGGAGCCACTATTGCCCAGATCCTCCAATTGAAAAATAACAATAACAGACAGACAGAAACCTTGACCATGATAAAGATGTAGTAGTTTGGCTGGTTCCAGGACCATTATTAACATATCATTTCCAGCTCTGTGGCTACCATGAGATTATTGGCAAAGGATGTTCCACCATCACCACTCTGCAGCTGCCCACCACTGCTGAAGGTGCTAAGGTTCACATTTGGAGCTAAAGTTCTTACATACTTGGCAAGGGCTCCACACTAAGAGGCTCATCACACTAGAGAAAAATCCACTTAAAATTCAGTTTCTGCCTCCTGCAGAATTCTGGGGTTTGTAGTTTAGGGAGGAGCCTTTAACAGCCTCACTAAACTACAAACACAAGATGAAGATGTAAGATGCAGCCAAAACCCTGGCCATGATCATGCATTGGAAACATGCACGTCTCACATAGATGCATCTCTGTAGCTATGCTTCCTAGAGTTACCACCCCAAAAATCCACACAAAAACATGTACAGCTCCTTGGAGTGTGTGAAATTGAGGGGATCAATAGTGACAGATCCAGCTATTTTCCTTTAATGCAACATTCAATGCCAGACATCTGCAAGGGTCTTCATGGGTTCTTGGGACATCTCTGCTGGGAACATTGGCAGTGCCTCCACCTAAAAGAAAACAGCTAGATGCATCACTCCCCAGTTCACCTGTTGTCTGAAAACTTGGGAACAGATGTGTTTTAGAGGGGATACATGGCTTGTCATGTGGGATGGGACTGGGAACGTTGGGTTGTTGCAAGATAAAAACAGAATTCCAACATACGTAATGACAAAAGAAGTGACTGGTGATGTCATAAGGCATATTTACAACATCCTAGCTTGCGAATAGGATGCCAGCCCTGATTTAGTTTTAAGGTGAACTGGAGTGGGTAAACCAATCTATTTTCATAGTTATGAAGATTTCTGATGGCAACATTAATAAATTCTTCATTCTGTCTACTATCTTGAAGACATAGTTATTGGGCTAACTGAATCGGTGATGTGGCTAGAATTGCATTACAAAATGGCTTGACTACATCATTCCTTTACCCCAAAGTGGTCTAGAAGTCAAACCTAAATGTCCAGACAATGTCAAGGGACTTCGGAAACTTAACTCAGAAAAAAATTTGTTCAACCCTGTTCAACCCTGCATTGAGCAAAGTTGGGGAATGTCCCGCAATTTTAGGGTGAATGTGCACAGCACACTTGGCTCCAATCTGAGCCAGACCATTGTCCACATGGCCAGCACCACCATCCTGCCCTCCCCCCATTGCTAAAGTATCTGGAGATCTCTTGCCCATCATCAAGTACCTTTGCTGACATCAGCAAAAGCATTGACAAAGCCAAGATGAAGAAGGGAATAGCCTCCTAGTTGGCTACACTCTCCATGTCCATCCTTCAATGGAGCACAGACAGTCCAGTGGGGTTAAAATGGTTTGGGTCCACTAAAACATCACCTTAGGTTTCCTGTCTCTGTCACCATAAAGCTCCCTCAGAGCTATCCCAGCAGGGGTGACAGGGACAGCAAAGCTAAGGTGATACTCCTGCAAGCTTAACGCATTTTCAACAACAATGGATTATTTTACTACTAATGTAAAACAGATACAGAGCGTGAAGCCAACCTGGAGTATTGCTTCTCTGGACTGGCCCCAGATTTCAGTGTAGACAATATTTATAATGCCCAATTCTTAGTTGGCAGTTGCAAAACGATTAATCCCAATAACTAACAGTTAATATATAGGGAAATCCAGGTTTTGAAGTTATGTTCATACCCATTCCTTTGTAACCTGTGTTATGGTTTCAGAATACGTCACAATTATGATGCAGCCATTAGTGTTATGGTTTAAGAGTATGTCACCGCTAGATGCAAGTAATATCTTCTGTGTGGAATATAACTAAAGGCCAGAAGGTGAGAAAGACATAGTAAAAAAGGATTATAAAGAAGGCATGATTGGGTCAAAGGGCTTTTGAGTATCTCACTCATTTTGCTATTTAGACTGAAACTCTCAAAATCTCACAACCAGAGTAATCAGTGGCAATGCTTCCAAAATAAGTTTTGATAATTTTTTATTTTTTTTATGAAAAGAGATACTAAAATGATAAGTGTACATATGGATATTTCCAGTTCATTGTCTTCAGCTGTAGACATTCCCCCCTTTCTTCTTTTCCTTTTCTGTTCTCTGTCATTACTACCCCCTCTCTTTTTAAAAAGATAACTGGATTCAATTGCCAACTTCCACATTTTGAATAGCACAACACATTTTCTGGAAAATATTAATAAATCAGTAACAGGTAGCTCATATTACCCTTTCTGTAAGTCATAGGAAGAAATTGTATCTCCACAATCCCAATGTACTCCTTTGTCAAAGTTCTTCATCCATGTCTTCTAATGGATCGTGCCATTTACTTTAAATTGTTCTAAGCTATTATGCAATATTTAGCTGTCTTCATGTTTTTAAGCTTGTTTGCTTTTATGGCCTGCTCCATTCTCTATGACTACATCACTAACTGGATTTCAGGTAAGAAAATACAGTAGTTATAACTATGAAGATACAAGGACTCATACAAGCAGTAGTAATAAACAAGTCCCACTGTGTTCGTATTTTTCATCATAATCTCTTCCCCACTTAACACAAGAGGCTTTATTGTTTATCATTATGGCAAAAAAGGTTAAATAGAAATATCCAAACCATTAATTTATATTATCAAATCAACAGTTGTGGATTCCTGATTCCAGTAAGAAATGCAAGTTTTGTAGGAATTTTTTTCAGTGCTTCCTGAACATCTTTGTTTCTTAGACTATACACAAAAGGGTTGACAAGAGGAGTCAACATAGTGTACAAAAGAGAAAAAACTTTGTTTAGTTCTCTCAGGGTGCTTGTTTTTGGTACAACATAGACAATAATCAGAGTTCCATAAAAAACTGTCACCACAACCAGGTGAGAAGAACAAGTAGAGAAAGCTTTCTGCCTTCCAGAGGTTGATGGGACTCTCAAAACTGAGGTAATGATACAAACATAAGACACCCAAGTCAATAGGAAAGGTGGAAATGCACACAAAAAAGACATTATGAAAACCAAGGTGCCGATTATTCTGGTGTTGCTGCATGACAGATTGATCACTGGGCCAAAATCACAAAAGAAGTGGTCTATCTCATTTGTGCCACAGAAGACTAACTGTGACATGAAAGATATTGTTATGGTGATTGCTAGACCCCCACCTAACCAGGAGCCAATGGCCAGTTGGATACACAACTTATCATTCATGTAGTTAGTATAGTGCAATGGTTTGCATATGGCGAGATAGCGATCAAAGGACATGGCGGCTAAGAGAAAGCATTCTGTAGTGACAAGGATGCCAAAAATATAAAACTGTGTGATGCAACCTATCAAGGAAATAGACCTGTCTCCTGTTAAAAGGCTATATAGCATTCTGGGCAGGATGACTGAGCTATAAAAAGTTTCCAAGCAAGACAGGTTTCCCAAGAAGTAATACATGGGGGTGTGAAGGTGCTGATCAGACACAATTAGAAAAATTATCAGGAGGTTCCCGCTGATGGTCAACATGTAAATCACCAAAAATAGCAGCAGTAACAGAATCTGTACTCCTTGGCCACCACTAAACCCCAGAAGAATGAATTCTGTGGTCATGGTTTTATTTACTCCATGTAGGTTTTGGTAGGGAGACATGTAGGCAAGATCTGAAATGCTGGAGAAAGAAAACAAAGAATAGGAAGAGATTAATTAAAATCAGAATTGACTCAATCTGAGACATTCATAATTCATAGTCTTGGAACTGTGTGAAATGATACATTTAATCTTTGGAGTGATACTTATATACTAGAATTCAGTTAGGGTAGGGACACCTGCACATGTACCTGTAAGTATCTCTGAAATATGTGCATGTCCTTTTTTGAGAGGCTGCAGAGGATAGATATTGTCCTCCTCCTAGGGCAGTGCTCAAAACTCCTTCCTTACATTAAGGATTCCAAACTTCTTTGAACAGCTATTCTCATATGCTTCATGATAAGCAGAAAGGATCAAAGAAGCACCCGTAATACATACCCCCATAGCCAGATACACAATGAGTACAAAAGTGCAGATCTCAACATGGTTATCATCATTGTGTGCCTAGCTATTGGGTGGGGATAAGTGCACAATCCTCCAAATAAAACCACTTTCCACAAAGCATGGGATTGCCGTTTAAGGAAGCTTTGGGGTTTGCAATAAATCAGTGGTGGCATTTGACTCAGGTTAGCACAAAGTTCACATGTGGATATTTACACTATCCTGTTGAAATGGGTTTTCAGATGAGTATTGTTACCTAATTTAGGGTTTGCACACATAAGCTTAGCTAAGGATATCTCTACATTATAGAAATCATGCAGTTTGACACCATTTTAACTGCCATGATTCAATGCTAAGAACCATAAGAGTTATAGTTTTTAAGTCTATTATCTTACAAAATGGGTGGTAGACTCTTGCTTGCTTGTTTACTCACCTGCTCTCAGTATATATTATTAAAACTGTTAGTTCTGTGATACCATAATACTTTCTTGTTTTTGAAAATGTTAGGAATACCATTGGGTTTTTTGTTGTTGTTTGTTTGTTTGTTGCTTTCTCCTACTCATTTCAATTCAGGTTTTATTGTATTAACACAAAGTCATAGCAAACAACAAATTTATTTACAATAAAAAATATTTGGTGCATCTCTGCTCTATTAGTGTAAGGCTGTATGAATAGACCAGGGGTCCTCAAACTAAGGCCCGGGGGCCAGATGCCGCCCTCCAAGTTCATTTACCTGGCCCTCACTCAGGGTCAACCTAAATCTGAAACAACTTGAAAGCACACAGCAACAATAACAATCCTATCTCATGAGCCAGAAGCAGGCCCACACTTCCCATTGAAATACCAATAAATTTATATATTTTAAATTTTGTTATTCATTTTAATTATTGTATTGTTTTAAAATGGTTTTTGCACTACAAATAAGATATGTGCAGTGTGCATAGGAATTCATTCATGTTTTATTCAAATTATAATCCAGCCCTCCAACAGTTTGAGGGACTGTGACCTGGCCCTCTGTTTAAAAAGTTTGAGGACCCCTGGAATAGACGTTATGATCTAGATCAAATTATAAAGACAAAACCCAGGAAAGGACCCTAAAGAAACATCCAAATTTGTTGGTGCTTTTATTTCTTACAGTCAGCCCTTTCTATCTATTTGTCACAAACAAATGCACTAAGAGATTAACATTCTGTGAGTTATTCCCAAAGAGAGTAGATCCAGCTGAATGATGAATGATTCAGATCAACAGCTGAATGATGAGTCATTACACCATGGCTTCTACAATATCCAGGGCACACCGAAAAATATTACTCCACCCTGCTGCTTTTGGACTCTAGCACTACAATAACTTACAGTGTTGCTAAGTTTTGAGCAGCAGCATTTAAAATTAAACAGATGATGGTAGACTCTGCAAGGCAACAACCTGTTGGGAACATAGTTAAAGCAATCTGTTACAGCTGAAATGCCACTAGGTTTGTAATGTGCCCCTTTCATCCCTTTTAGTGCCCCCTCACAGTGTTTTGATCCCTCCTATCTTTCCCCCTTCACTTCCATATCTGTTATATTAACCTGTGTTTCTAAACTTTGATTTTAAACTGTTTTCTAATTTGTTTTTTAAATAACTGCTTCACTGGGGAGCTGTGTTTCCCCTTCCCAGGGCACTTGTGCCCTGCTTTGTGCCTGGTTAGTGATTGTAATAAAGTATTGTATTGTATTGTGTTGTATTGTATTGTATTGTATTGTAGAGTCAACACACAGGCGAATCTTGTTGATACAATGGATCTTCTATAGTTGGGATTAACAATGAAACACAATATGAAAAGGTAAAAGGTTGGGATGGGTCCAGGATTCAAAGTAGTAGACTAAGGAAAAGGCCCACTTGTAAAAAGATATGACAAGAACAATGTGGACAAGTTTGAGCAACGTGACTCAAGAAATGCCTTATAGATCTCACTTGTTTATCACAAGTTTAGACTAAGTAGATAGCAAAACTGTGTGTAGCAAAACATTAAAATCTTATTTTCAGAAAATGTGAGACCTATGTGTTTCTGTTCTATAAATGTAAGTGGGGAAAAGTAACTTACCTTTCAGAAGTCTTCTCTATTATTATAGTGTTGTAATCTCTGTCACCAAAAATGCTTGGTTCCAAAGTCCTTCATTTCATTAGCCAGCGCAGGGCTGATACTAATATTGTAGATATTCTGTTTGTATAGCTATTTATTCCATCTAACAACATTTGTATTTTATATTTATGCTCTCAGGGACTATAACTCTGCTCTTTAACCTGTTTCATCTTGGAGGAATACATAATTTCCTTTGATATTTTAGCACAGGGGAACTGTGTACTCTTTTTAACACTGTTTTTAAACTATAACAAGAATGCCCCTATGAGAGACAGAATGAAAGGATTGCCTTCCCATAATAACTTTGCTTCTCTCCCCATTAATTTTGGAGGAACTAGATTTTCTGAGTAATAATGAGGGGAGTTATCATATTGTTCTGCAATCTTTGACCATTTTTTCTCTCTACTATCTACTTACCAATAATTCCCAAAGTGATTTATGGCAAGAAAAAAATGTTTGAAACATTGGAGAGCAACAAGATAAAGTGGCAGAAGAAGTGTATTCTGCCACCCTTTCTCCAACTTATGTAAAAAATAAAAAAAAAGATTTATCCTCTCCTCTAGCATACTGTTGGAGCCAGTGAAATATAGTTGTTTGAGTGCGATATAGAGAGCAGAATTTGCATCTCTATTCAGGCAATGAAAATCCACTGGATGCCCTTAAGGAAAACACATTCTCAGCTTCAGAGGAAAGCAATGACAAACCAGCTCTGAACAAATCTTGCCAAGAAAACCCCTATGATGGATTTGTCATTAGTTAAATTTGACATGACCATCCTGAGTTCCTCTGGGGAGAGAGGGTGGGGTATACATAAAGTTTTAATACTATGATGATGCAAACAAACTATTTCTAGCTAGTATGAAAATGTGACATATGATGAATACATGTAAATTGTCTATTTAAAAAGAAAATTAAATTAAATGTTGGTATAAATTGAACCCTTTTGGGAGGAAAAAATCTCCCCTTTCTCCAAATGTGAATTCAAGCACAATGAAATGGAGCCAGATTTTCAGTTGAAGTCTATACAAATATTTATTAAAGCAAAATATATGAAATTGGAAGGAGAAAGTGAACTTCTTTTCCAGAGAAGAAAAGGCAATATGAATATATTTTGGAAATCACAGTAATCACTCAAACATACACACAAGGAAAAACACATACAGTGGGAACAAAGCTGGAACTAAATTAAAAAGTTTATTAACACACAACCCTGCATGCATTCAGATGCACACAATTTAACGACAACTTTCTTGAGGGCCTCCTTAACCTCCCTATTTCTCAAACTGTATATCAGGGGGTTGAACAAAGGTGTCAGGACTGTGTAGAAAAGAGAGAAGATTTTGTTGAGATCTCGCAGTGCATCTGTTTTGGGCAACATGTAGACAATCATTATGGTGCCGTAGAAGGTAGATACCACAATCAAGTGTGAGGAGCAGGTTGAAAAGGCTTTTTGCCTCCCACTTATGGATGGGATACCCATGATGGTAGATATGATATAAACATAAGATGCCAAGGTCAACAAGAAAGGAGGAAGGGAACATACAGCAGCTAGAAGAGTAGTTAAAAGCTTAATCATGTGTGTGTCACTACAGGACATCTTTAATATTGGGTTGAAATCACAAAAGAAATGGTTGATTTTACCAGAGTCACAGAATTGTAACTGGCTCATTAAATATATAGTTATGTTAATAGCCAATGAACCACAAATCCAAGATCCAGCTACCAACTGGAAGCAAACTCTGTCACTCATTAGTGCTGAATAGAGCAATGGCTTACATATAGCCACATATCTATCATAGGACATTGCAGCTAGAAGATAGCATTCAGAAACTGCCAAGAAACCAAAAAAGTAATATTGGATCATGCAGCTAGTGACTGAGATGGTTCCTTGACCTCCATTGAGAAGGTTAACCAGCATCAGGGGAAGGATATTGGAGCTGTAGCAAGTCTCCAGACAGGACAGGTTACCCAGGAAGAAGTACATAGGAGTGTGGAGGTGCCGATCAACCACAACCAGCACAATAATGAGAATATTACCAATCATGGTCACAATATAAATCAGGAGGAAGAGGAAGAATAGAAGAAGCCACCAGTTTCCAATATCTCCAAATCCCAGCAGTAAGAATTCAGTGAGTGCTGTTTGATTTTCCTGTTCTTTTTTGGCCATAGTGGCAGTTCACACCTGCAAAGATAAATTATGTTACAAATGAATAAGAATAAATTTTAATTAATTTCCAATTAATAATTTATGTTACTGTACTTAGGAAAAAGATTGAATTAAGCTCAAAGGTAGGAAAGCCCACAGTGAAAGAGGTACCCCCACACAAAAAACTGAAAAGTAATATAAAGTTGCAATCTTTGAAATAAGCTGTGGTGAACTTAGTGGGGCTTACTTTCAGAATAGATGTGCTTAGGATGGCACTGCCATTCTGTTCACTGGTCTTCTTCACCAGTGACAGCTAAGGTGCTTTGTTGTTAAAATGTAGTTACATGACTTTACTACCCACTCTTTCTTCTTTTCATCTGCACTGAGAAAAATTAAAGTGTTGTGTTGTGCCCCATGAAGATCCTTACTGTTTACCCCTAGTTAAGCCCTTTTTAATTAATATTTTATGTACAGTTTTTGGGGGTCAAATAGCCTCTTTGCATTTGAAGCCTTGGTCACATTGCCCCTTTAAAAATTCCCTCAGGAGCAGAGCCCCAGGCAAGGTACTTTCGGTTCTTGGAAGAGTCAGCCTTTTCATGACTCGAAAATGAAGAAAAAGGAAGGCCACAAGGTCTACAAAATAGCATGTCCAGTCGGAGCCATATTCAAGTCTAGTTGAAGCTATATTCAAGTTCAGTTGGATCTATATTCAAGTGTAGACAGAGTTAAATATTGAGACCATCTTAGAGACAGTTGAACACCATACAAGAAAGAGACAATAAGAAGAAATAAAGATTCAAGAGCCTCAGTTCATCCAGAACTGTGTGTATCTCTCAAAGGCTTTACCTCTCATCATAAAGACTTTGTAGTGAGACTCAGGAGGAGAGAAAGTCTAAAATTCTTATTAGTTAATAAACTCTTGTTTGATTCAACTATATAGTCTCTAATCTGTTCTGTGTGTTGCCAGTTTACCTTCCAAGCAGTTAAGATAGTGTGGGGGCAGGTTGGATCCATGATTGATTTTTTGTCTTTACTTTACTGTGGTCTATATTCTACTAGGTTAAAAGAAAACCCGGTCATAATATTTCATTGGTAGAACGCATAACTGGAAAGGAAAAATACATACTCCCTTTCCTGTGTAACTCTGGTTTTGAATGGCATAATCAGTGGGAAACAAATATATATATTCCTATAGCATTCTCAGTGGAATGCTGGATTTTGCCCATTTTCTAGAAAAAAATTATGTGCAAAAGTAAGGGACTATATTTAGAACTTTTACTCTAGAAATACCTTAGTACTAGTAATGCAGAAATCTAATGTAAATACATGTAGAAAATCACATTGGCATAGAAATTAAGCTATTTGTCTTTCCCCTCTTCCTGTTTTTAACAGCTAGATACAAAACTGCAATTAAAATGAAAATGGGAATCACACCTTGTAATTTCTATTTCATATCATTGAAATTTTTAGGTACATTGGGACTTAAGTACCCCAGACTGGAACTAGTTGGTATTATTATTATTATTATTATTATTATTATTATTATTATTATTTCAAACATTTGTACCCCATCCTTCTCAACCTCCGAGGGGGGACTCAGGGCGGCTTACAACGGCAGCAATTTGATGCCAACAATATACAAACGCATTACAATACAACATTACACAGTAAATAAAACATTAAGTTAATCTTGTCAGAGTGCTAGACCAATAATTGTGTTTTTTCAAAGATCAATCAGAGTTGGCCCAGGCAAGGTTGACAAATCTGACATACAACAGCCAGTTTCTGTGGCATCTTATTTCTTTCACTTGGCTTTTTCCATTCTGTTTCCATTATCTATATCAATAGATCTAGTCCCACATAGTACATCAACATTATTTCTAGCATATCAGGAGAAATTGATAGAAGAAACCTGTTCCTGACAGTCAGTGCAAAACATGAGGGAATATTCAAAACTGTATTTCCCTTATTTCCTAAAATGATACCATGAAGGATTTCAATGGCACAATCAAATTAATGTGTAGAATGGCTCTGTGATCTCCCTGTATAAAATCTGGGATCCTGAAAGTTTTGTGAAAGGATAAGCTATGACTCTGCAATAGAAAACATACAACCCTGTCATGTCCAGAAAGCAATAGCCATGACCCTTTGAAACCCTGATAAGCAACTGCTAATCCACGTGTACAATGCTGAACTAGATGGTTTTGGGAACTAACAGCACATTCCTACGTACGTCTACGTAGAAATACATTCATTTGATTTCAATGCAAATTATTCACTAAATGAAAGCAGGGTTATATTTATATAATACGATCTTCCCCTCCTTCTTTAGAATTCCTACTGTATCTTGCTCTCTTAATCAAGTTTCCCACCTCCAGTTCTATGGTAAAATTGCCAGTTCAGCTGAATAACAAAGACAACATATTCAGAATGAATGTAGTGATATAGTACTATTACTTCTTTCTTTCTTAAAGGAGTTCAGAGCAACGTATGTATTGCCCTGTGTCACCACTTTATATTTTCTTTAAAATCCTCACTACCATCTGCCAGTAATTTCCATGGTGTTGTGCTATGAGAAATGCTCTTCCACTAGAAATCTGAAGTTTCCATATATTCTTTGTTTTCATGTGGCCTTCATTATTTACCCTAGCCTAACATCTTTTCCTTGAACCTCATGAAGCGTGTGTTTTGTGTGTGTGTGTGTGTGTAAATGTACACTTCTCTGAATTTCTTTGATCGAAGCAATATAGAAATATTGATGAATGAATGAATGCTACAGTGGAGTGAATCTATTCTGGATTTGAGAAAGAATTTTAGAAGACCTATCCACAGTGCTGAACCCAAATTAGATTCAGCACCTTGGAAAACTTCTGACAATTTTGTAAAATAGGACAAACTAGCACGTATCAGCTAGTGCAAGATCATCCAGTAAACCTTTAGTGCTAAATACAGATTTCAGCTCAGATTCTCACATAAAACACTCTAGTTACAACATATTGGATCTCAGGCTACATATCTTCATCCATCCTGTCTCCTCCCAAGATTGATTTTTACATATGAGGATAAGACTGAAAATAAGATACAAACAGATATAGATAACCCACTGTTTTATCACTCCTCAAAAATAATTTGATTCTATATTATCTTCACCTTTTAAATCATCTCTACTATAAATCATTTCTACTATTATAAAGTGACAGTGGTGCTAGAATTCCATTTACCCATTCAGCTATGTCTTTCTTTGGAACAAGGACTTCATCCTTTCACCTCATCTTCTTTATGACTTCAGTTCATTCTTAACCATATGTGTTATCAACTTCATGGTCTTTAATATTTCATCAGAATGAACCTTCTCCCTTGTTTTTCTGCCTTCCCTTGGGAAGATCACAGTCTCCTTAGACATAGGTTGTTTTTAATGCACCAAGGTTAATTTTATCTTTTGATATTCTTATTTTAAAAATACAGTAGCAGGCTTCCAAAATAACTCATTAAAATGGGTGTTAGCAGTGATGGAACCTGTTGTTACTCTGTTATTTCTACTACAACCCAAATCACTAGAAGGGATTTTTCTGAAGACCATTAGAATGTGGAAGATGGATGTCAAATTGTTTTTACACATAAAAAGTGAACTACTCTAGCATGATGTAGTAGGCTGTGACTCTGGCAATCAAGTTTGAGATTCCCACTCAGCTGTAGAAACTAGGTGTACAGTACATTCAGAGGAAAGTAAAGACAAACCAACTCTGCCCAAACTTTGTCAAGAAAATTTCATTATAAGATTACCTTAGGGTCGCCATAAGCTGGAAATGACTTGAAGGAACACAACAGAATTTCAACTAAGGACAAAAATAAGTATCTACCTCATTGAATTCAATGGGCTTTGGTGCTCTTTAATTCCTAAAAACTAAGCACTACAGTCAGCCCTCCACATTTAGTGGGTTTAGAACTTCATAGAAACCACAAATAAAATTCTCTCAAGAGTGGTCATTTCATGGTTGTATATTAAACATTAGCCTTCTGTTTTAAACAATAAGTATTTATTCACTTATTAACATCAAAACTGATATGAGTCATGTTCAAACTCACCTTTGTTACATTGTCAATACCAAGTATTCAATGAACTGGTTTTTGTACATTTTTAAAAGATCTGTTACAAAAGCTAACCTTCTACCCTCTGTTTCTTGTAATAACAATGGAATTATATTCATTTTACCAAATCTCAGTGGTCTTAAGATTAGAAATGGAAGCTCTTACTGTTTGGGATATAGAAAATGTTACGCCATTGACAGATCTTTGAATAAAGCAGCACTGAAAACAGATACTATTCTTGAGGTTGCATCATCAGGTTAATAACCAGTAGATTTCTGCATTTGTACAGAATCACCATCTGTTTCTGTTTGTTTGATTAGTTTCATTTTTGAGCGCCTTCCAAAAACGGGCGCCTTTCTGAATGAGCATTTTCATTCCATACCAAAAATATGGAAATCAAAACAAAACTGTTAAAATAAATGTTCCACCCAGGTATCCAGGAATTAACTTCCGAAAAATAAGGCAAAATGTTAAATCATCATTTCTGGATCTCTTCCATGATCTTTGTCCTTAATTGGACCCCTTTCCTGGAAGGATGTTAGCTATTCACATCTGCTGTTTGTGTCCTGTTTGAAGCTATGAGATGATAAAGAATTGCAATAGAGAGAAAATGAAAACATTGTAAATGTTTATTTGTTTAGTCAGTCTATAAAATCCAAGAAGCAAAGGCATAGCAAAGAAATGCTGATGTCTGGTTTTTAAAAGGGGAGGGGGGTTGTTGCCTGCTGAAGCAGAAGCATGGTATACATTTTCCACCAAGGCTTCTGGGTCTTCTAATCCTGATTCCCAGTAGGGCTGTGACCCAAGAAACATTTATCACCTGCACTCTTCCCAATCTCACTCATGGTAAATTATTAGACTACTGCTCAAATAAAGGAGAAGGCTCAAAGTATCCTGGATTGGCAGTGACATTCCAAATTAATCCTCTCATTGTTCCACTTTTCAGTTGCTTTTAAAGTGCCCCAGTTTCTCTTTCCTCCTCCTTTCTTTGTCCTCAGTTTACTTCAGTTTCCAGAAAAACTCAATTAATTTGTGGGTGGAGAGAAAAAAAGACAGAATCTTGCCTATCCTGGTAGGTCCCTTCCAAACGTTTTGCAAATATCAGCACTGAATGGTTTTTGAAAACTTGAGTATCGAAGCAACCAGTGGATCATAAATCAATGGAGGATTGCCTTTGCTTTTCACTGAGAGTTAGAACATGTAACATGTCCGAGGTCACCACATGAATTTCCATGGCTAAACAAGTATTCAAAATCCTGTTCACCAGCACCATAATCCAATGCTCAAACCACTATACCACATTGGATTTCCAATATTGCTGGCTCTATCAAGTTTCATGCACCTATTTATTTGCTAGAACAAGATATGTTTTTACCTGAAGGGTCACAGTTAGTCCTTTCTTAAGTTGCATCATGACTTGGCTTCTTGATAAGTACTAAAAGATCAAGAAGAAGAATGAATGAATGAATAATAATAATAATAATAATAATAATAATAATAATACTTTATTTGTACCCCGCTACTGTCTCCCCAAGGGACTCAGTGCGGCTTACATGAGGCCGAGCCCAAATACAACAATACAAGCAATAATAACAACAATACAAGCAATTAAAATAAAAAACATAAAAAAGACATAGACAATAAAATATACAACATTATCAATAAGACAACACACAATTAAAAACAGTGGGAAGGGCAAATGTAAAGTTAAAATTGGAAATAATGCTGGGACATGGATGAAAAGGTGATAGTGGTGTTTGTGGAAGAAAAGGGAGGTAGAGGAAATATCCAAGGTAAAAGAGTTCCTTAGATATAACACAGCACCCAATTAATAGATTGTTATCAGACACAAAAGATAAGACCAGATCTCAGACTTTTAAGGCCCAAACTAGTTAAGACTTCAAACTTTAGTAGTTGGGATTTGATGCAATGTGAAACCTATAATGCTGAATGTGACAGACTATGCATCTATTATGGACTGGCACATAGTTGAAAAACCTTCTCTTTTAAATCAAGATGGTTAGAGGGTAGAAATGCTACAGAGGTTCATCTGTTGTGAACATAGCTGGCACCCATGTTTCATGCTCTGTGCTCTACAGAGCACTCTGGCAAGCAAAGTGAGTAGCATGTACAGGAGGCGTATATAAACCTTATGCCATCTGCATGCAGATGACGTTCAACTCTATTGCTACTTTCCACCTGCTACTAAGGAGGTTGTTCAGGTCCTGAACTGGTGCCTGGCAGCTGTGATGGTCTGGATGAGAGCGAACAAATTGAAACTGAATCCAGAGAAGACAGAGGCCCTCCTGGTCAGTCGCAAGACCAAACAGGGTATGGAGTCCAATTAGTAAAGTTGATTGATTAGTCCACTGACAATATCAACAGTAAAAGACAAAAACAAGAAAATAAACAAATAGATACTAATCACTGTCCTAAAACTCCTGTAATAGTGAACATACATTAAAAGGCAATTAAAACTTGATTAAGTTAAAAGTTAAAGATAATTTAAAATATCATCATTAAAGTGCCAAGGTAAAACTTCATACCACAGAAGTTAAGGATAAAGGTTAAAACAAAGGTTAAAACAGACCAGCTATTACACAATCCCAATCCAGTTCAGATATCTGCGTCACCCCTATAGTTTACCCCCAATCGCCTCCAAATGCACAGTTCTCAGCTGCATTGCTTTATGTAGAAAAGGGGCCATTTGGTGTGTTATCTTAGCATTCTGGCCAGCCATTTAAAATGTGGCTTTCATATGGGGATCCCAGTGAGTCTTCTGTGTAATGAATGGTCCGAGGTATTGATTTCTCCCTTTCTTGTACAAAATACAACTGGACAGTACATGTGTAATATCCTCTACCTCTGTCACCCCATAGATACAGAAAATGTTTGTTATATGGAACCTGGCTTAACCTTCCATGTTTAACCATTGTATCAGTCTGTTCAAATCTGCTTCTAGTGAATACCCTCCTGAAATATTTAGGCATTTCTGTCTTTAGGTATTTGGCTGTTTGAAAAGTGTGTTTGAAGCAACTTAGCCATTTCAGTGAACTGGCTTTATTAGTTCTTTTAAGAGATTTGGATATAGAATTGGGAGTCAAGACCTTTAAACCAAAGAATTGGGTCCAAAGGAGCTTCCTCCTGTGACTTTAATGCCAAACTTGCTTTGACCTGTAATTAGGTGATGAGTGATATGACTATGCCATTTTATTGCTTCTATTAATGATATAGGACTATTTCAGTTCCTTCAATTTAAAATTATGTTGCAGAGCTGGTTTGAGGGCAAAATAATATGTGAAGTTTGAATTATAATTCATTTTCCCCAACAAAATGCACGAAAAATCTCTGGGGGCTTTCTAACGGCTCATCTACAAGGACACTTTGCCCTAAACCAGGAGAGAATAAACTCCATGGCATCCACATGATGCACAGAACAGGCTCGCCTTCAACACTGAGCAACGCTGCTTAACATAGTCTAGCCACAGATCAGGCAAAGTCAGGGAATGCCCAAAGCTTCCCTAAAGCTCTAGTGCTTCCTTGCATTTTGGGGCATTGTGAACAGTTGGGCCAGTTAAGAGACTATCACAGAAAAACCATGAGTCTTTGGGTTGATGAGAGACATAATGAAGTCCCACCTGCAGAATTCTTATTCTACACTATGTGTAATCTGATCCATTTTCACTGAAGGTGGTTCATATATTTGCACATATGTTGGATTTTATGCAAATAATAGCGACTTGAGTGTATGGGTCTTTATAGGCAGCATTACACCTGTCCTATCATTTCTACTCTGATAAGAAACTGAATAGTGCTATTATTATTCACCAACAATGAGAAAAAATGGTTTTGTATAATGTCCTTTTACTGATCCCAAACTGGATTTATAAATGTCTAGTCATTGTAAAGTACATGTTGTTTGTTGTTGAAATGTATATGACTCCTAGAATGTATCTACACTGTATAATTAATGGAGTTTGATACTACTTTAACTGCCATGTTAAAGTAGTATCAAACTACTTTGGTCTGTGGTCTGATGAGGTACTAGTACTGTTTGGCAGAGAATGCTAAAGTCCTTGTAAAACTACAACTCCAATGATTCCATAAGCCATGACACTTAAAATGGCATCAAACAGTATTACTTCCATAATATGGATTTACCACTAGTTGAAAAGAACGAAACCCCTATACCTAAAAACTGGGAGTCACCGCCATGCTTACTGGTATCTGCACAGTAGCTCCATTTTCTGTCTTTATCATAGTTGTTTGTTGTAGCACACCAGAACATCCGTGGCCTCACATGCTCATCTGTGCAGGTATAAAACTTCCGTCCCTTATAAACAAAAGGGAACACACAGGGTTGTCCATCTGTGTTCCCACCATGTTCTGTTTAAATACAAGAGGGACAGAATAGGTGTGTGAGGGTCACAATCTAATATGAACACCTTTAAGCAAACATTAGTTTCTCTTGAACAAGTGCTGTAGGCTGAAATGAGGAACCCCACCCACTGTCCCATTGACAGCAGAGACTGTCAATCTTCCCTCCCAGTCCCTTCAACATCCATTTTAGCTTTTCCACGTTTCTGCCTGCATGAAGAAAGTAGTCAGTATTTGGAGGAGTTACAGCTTTGGCTGATGTAAAACATCTACACTGGGATAGGAAATGTCACATAAAGCACGTTTTTTTGCCATGCTCTCTAAAGATAATAATGGGGATTCTGAAACCGGGTTGCTATTAGAAGCAGTGACTTTTCCTCCAAATAATAATCCAATGGTTCTGAAGTTTGGGAGAAAGAGGACTGTCTAGAAAGGGAGCTTGGCTTCACCTCTCACTGATTACTCCTGTGATCAGAGGTTCCTCCATTATTGTCACAAGCATTAGAACACAAATAATTTTGACACAGTAGACTCTCCACGAGGTTAGTGGGCACAAGACACCCCTGAAAATGGGGAAAATGCAAATAAAAAAATACTACAGTCAGCTTTCCACATTTATAAATTTAACTTTAGTTAATTTGATTAGTATGTTTTCTCTAGGGATCTATGGGTCCTCCAATATGGCTTTATAGTCAACTGGCAGTGGAGGTTGACCATGGAATTGTGCTACAGAACCAGATATTGCTACAGAGAACATTTCTCTTGCCATTTGTAGCATGCTTTTTGTGGTTACCTCCCAGTGAAAGTTGACAACTGAGTTATGCAGGAGGACCTACAGATTTCTAGGAAATGATACAGTTTGTCTGTGTTGCAGCAGTCCTATGTCCCTAACCCTAGCAAATGTAGAGGGCCTGATGTATTTCTTTTTACTGCAGTGACACTTCTCTAGGAATCTCTAGGTTCTACGATGCAGTCCTATACTACAGTCCTACTGTACAAGATTATAGCACTCCTACTCTGCAAGATTATAGCATTATGATTCCACTTGAATTGTAATAGCAACATTGTATGAATGTTTGTTCCTATTCATTCCAGTTTTCAAAGTAATGAATAATATCCTCTTACCTTTCTCATAACAAGGTTTCCACCAGTGCCCTTTATCATAGTTACTTGTAGTGGCACACCATAACTGGTCTGTTCTGGATCCATCCTTGGTGCAGGTTGGGTATGTTTTGTTTTTATAGATAAAAGGGAAAACACAGGCAGAAAAGTCTGAAAGAACACAAGAGAAAAACCAGAAAAACAAGCAAAAGATTCGTGATTTTAGTATAATAAAACATAAATTTGTAATTCAGTTAACTATTCTGTTTCTTAATCTACAAAAAGTGTAGGGCTATGCAGAAATTCATGGGATGACACATTTTTAAAAAATCAGTCATCGAGTTTGAGAAATGCATGCAAACTTTAGAAAGATTTTTTTCTGAAGGACAAATACATGAAGAGAGATATACACATACATACACACCAAAAAAACCCTTATTGAATCTTTTGAAGGTTTGTTTGTAAGCCCAAGCTTCATGAGATTTGGGTGAGGCTGTAACTGTTTTTGGATATAATGACAAATTGTTTAATAATAGCAAGAACAACAATAACAACAGCTTTATTTTTGTATCCCGCTACTATCTCCCTGAAGAGACTCGGGGCGGTTTACATGGGGACTGTGCCCAGTCAAACACAATTAAAACATGGAACAATAAAACAATAAAATACATGTAAAAACATCATAAAACATAACCATCATAATCAACAATCAGTGGCCGAGCACAATGAGCATGTTCAGAACAAAAGGGTGAGGCAAGGGCTTGTGTGATACAACTACCAGGACGGGCTGATAGTAAGATGCAAGGGCCAGATGCCTGATAGGGCTAGAGGGGTCAGATCAATTAGTATAGTACACTACAAGGGGAGAGATAGTAATAAAGTGCAAGGGCCCAGCATTAAATTATAGCTGAGAGTGCATACCATATAGTGAACTGGATTAATCAAAAGCACATTGGAACATCCAAGTTTTTAGGTCTTTATGGAAAATTATTTTTTTCTGATCAAAGCAAAATAGAATAGTACTTTTCTTTTATTAATAATCTACATGCTACATAAAATGTGTCAAAAGCACCAGGAGCTATACCAACTACCAAAAATAATAAAGTATAATGAATGTTTCATTCAGATTATATAAAATACTTCTCTCATTTTCAAATAAGTGCTCTTTCACACAGCCATATAACGCAGAACACTAAGGCAGAAAATCCCAAAATATCTGCTTTGAACTGGGTTATCTGAGTCCACACTGCCATATATTCCAGTTCAAAGCAGATAATGTGGGATTTTATTCAGCTGTCTGGAAGGGGCCTAAGTAACTATATCAGTTTTAATTCCAAAGGGACTGGATTATCACAAAACCCACAAGCGACTTTCCTGTTTTTCCCTGCCAAATCAATAAGCCACTTTCTCTCTGTTTTATTTAGTCTGCAGACAGCAATCCTAAACACATTTGTGAGAAAGTAATGCCAGTTAAACAGGACAATACTGACTTCTGTGTAAATATGTATAGGCTTATATGTTTGCAAGTGCTTCTGCTCTTGCAACAGACAGGATCTAGAGAAAGTAGGAAATGGAGAAAGTTAGCCCTTTTGCAAGGTGTTCTGGAAGCAGAAGGAAATGCTCTTACCTAAAAATGCCGCACTGAAAGGCATCATCAGCCAGAGACAAATGAGGAGATGGGAGAAGGACCCCATAGTTGCCAATCACTCCACAGTCTGAAAGAGTCCTCGTACTTCCTCATGTTGTCTTTCTGGAATGACTGCCATACACCTTTCATTACAGATTGCGACATCCTCTTCCTCGTACTCGTATATAATTGTGGTATTTACATAAGCCAACATAACCTCAGCTACTACATATTGAGACAGGAGAAACAAGAGGTGTGACTGTTCTAAGGCACCACTTATCATAGCTCTGTTGAGTTAAAGCACGGCAATTTTGTTCTACATTTTAACCACAATTATGCCCCTTTACAGTATTGTAAAGGTTTTCCCCACTCTGAACTCTTTTGAAATTGCTACAAACTACTCAATCACATTAGGGTTGTGATTCATTGCCAAATCCCAGAGGTAATGGCTTAATTACCTAACCTCTATATCATTTCAAATGGATCACACCTCCCAAAGTCATGTCTTTCTGACAAACCTGTTCTCCAATCTCATCCAACTTCCAASACCCATGAAAACTATTAGCAAAAATGTAGCTAAAATGCTGAATATTTATTAGGCACAATGACAGTAGGTTGGATATCCCTTATCCCCAGAAGTGTTACGGATTTTGAAATATGGGGGGGGGGGGTGGAAGGTTAAAATACTTGAATTTGAATATGTGTACATAATGACATATCTTGGAGATGGGAACACAACATCCATTTACATTTCATATACACATCGCATGAAAGTAATATGTGCAATATTTGTAACAATGTGTTATAACCTAGTTGTGTGATAAGCAACACCCTCTTCTTCAGTTTGTTTTCAACTTGTGGGGACCCTAAGGTGAGCTTATCATAGAGTTATCTGAGGGTAAAAGTGTGTGACTTGCCCAAGTAGGTTTTCATGGCTGAACAGAATCATGGTCCAACACTAAAGATACAAGGATCATCTTCTGTTTTCAATCCAGAAACCTTACATAGATAGTGAAACCTAGGCACCTGAATGCCAACATAGATATTAAGGGAAACATTAGGCTGTGTATCTTGAGATTGTTTTATTTCTTTAAGGGATAATTTTTTAAAAAGAAGAAAACGGTATGTATCCTCCAGTACTGCATGAATTACTAGGTGACTTATGGATCTCATCAGATGGGCTAATTTCAACAGCATATGCCGGTTCTTCTCATTTGCACCACAGAGCCCGCCAGCTCCCATCCCATGATGTACAGCTATTTCTGGCAGGGCTCCATCATGCAACAGGAGAGGAATTGGCATATGCCACCACAGCAGCAACACGGGTAACTTCATGTGCTGCACTAGAAACAATGGGGAGCAGCAGATGCTTCACCCCGTGGGGTGAGGTTATGTGTAAATGGAGTGATGCGGGGCATGGGGCAATGACTAACAATGTGTGGCCATACAGATATTAGGTCAGCCCCCTCCCTGTTGACATTTCGGAGGAAAGCGAAGACCTGGTTGTTCGAGCAGGCATTTGAATAGGCAGTGTAATGAACATAGGAATATGGAACAATTGGATGGTGAGACTGGATCTTGATTTTAACTATGAGATGCTAATGAGATGTTTTATTGATTTATATTGACTGTTTATTATGCTACTGTTTTAATTGTTTTTAAATGTTTTATGATGTTCTTGGGCACTGAATTTTGCTATTTTTAACCGCTCTGAGTCGCCCGAGGACTGAGAAGAGTGGTATACAAATATAGTAAATAAATAAATAAATCTGGCTGCTAATGTGATAAAGTTGAATGACTCATTTGGAACTGGTGGAGTTCAGAGTATGAAAAGCCAAACCAAGGACCCCATAAGAAAAAGAAATAAAACATTCCTTTTTAAAAATAATAGCAATTTGCTCAAGCTGTCATCCTTTACAATCCCCTGAGATTGCTCTTGCAGTTCTGGATTGTGTCTTCTCTGACAGACAACAAAGTGTATAAACAAGTACCACTTAGGGCAGAGCTTTTCAAACTGTGTATTGCGACACACCATCTTGCCTCTAGTCTCTAGGTGTGTCACATGAAAACCACTCCGCCCCCACAAACCAACTGGTGCTGTTCAGGTATAGTTACTGTTATAACTTTTATAATTTGCATAATTTGTTGCCACTAAAATGGATAAGTTTCTAATCAAGAAAATCCATTGACAATGTTTGTGATGAATGACATGGAGCAGCTATAGAGGAAACTACACAAAAATCAACTGTATTTTTTAGAAAATATCAAACCAAATAGCAATAAATGTGAGGTTTGAGCTAAGTATTTGCACATTTGGCTGAGATATGGTACCAGAAGATGAAGTTCTTTAAAGTTCACTCCTTTCTCTCCGCTGAGACATTCTGGAGTAATGTGCTATCTGGTAAACTTTATTTGTTTACTCCTCCCTTCTGACCTCCATCTCTGCCATGGAGTCCCTGGTGGCACAATGGGTTAACCCTTGTACCGGCAGGACTGCTGACCAACAGGTCAGTGATTTAAATCCAGGAAGAGCGGGTTGAGCTCCCTCTATCAGCTCCAGCTCTCCATGCGGGGACATGAGAGAAGCCTCCCACAAGGATGGAAAACATCAATCATCCGGGTGTCCCTGGGCAGTGTCCTTGCAAGCGGCCAATTCTCTCACACCAGAAGCGACTTTTTCAAGTCACTCCTGGCCCAGAAAAAAAAATCTACCATGAAGTCCAGCGTTCAGATCAACTGATCTGAAGGGTTGGGTTAGCGGTTTCTAGTAGATACTTCTTAGTACATGACTGAATATCAAATTCAGGAATTTCTTTGTATAAATCCAGAATAATTATAGCAACATGAAACTGATAACTGTGCTATGCAAACAAGGAAGAAATGAAATGTGTCCGTTTCCCAACTGGTGTTAAATCTGGCATTCCTGACCACTCAAAAAAATTACACAGAAATAAAAAATTCACATCAAAGTTTCCAGCCACTTGTATGAATTTTAGTTATTTCCAATGCAACATAAATGGTGCAGGTGTTTGAGAAATGTCATAGCTTCACTGCATTCACAGTCCTTTGCTTCTTTGAATGTTGGGCAAACCAAATGTTACACTGCAGGCAAAGAAATTCAGGCTTACTGAACCTGCAACCTTTGTCAGCTAGACTGTTGTGCATATCAAATGTAAAGCAGCAAGAAAAGAAACTCAAGAGTGGCTGGAGGTGCATCCTTACATGCTTGAATATGGCACAGTTCAGCTGCTATATGTTAGGAAAAGAAATCTATGTGAACTGAAGCTACAGCATTTGCCTGTTTGTATGTTATGCAATTTCCTTTCTGTGAAGATAGCTGAGTTTTTCATTTCAGTGCCAAAAGCTACATTTTTCAAAAGTTATGCAGTTTTCTTGGCAAGCTGTACAGCTTTCATTTAAAAAAGCTGGACGTTTTTTGTCTTTGGGGAAAGGAGGTTCCAGAGTGTCCTGAAACTGGAAATCAGGAGAAAAAAACAAGATTGACCACACAGATCTGCCTAACTGTTGTAAAAGCAAAACCTCCATCATTGTTCTGGCTATTTTTTATAAGAGCAACTCTGTTTCTATTTTTCAGTGTGTTACTTAACCAAAGAGTGAAATAACAATTGGGTTGTTGTGAGTTTTCCAGGCTGTATGGGCATGTTCCAGAAGCATTCTCTCCTGACATTTCACCTGCATCTATGGCAGGCACCCTCAGAGGTTGTGAGGTCTGGGTTGTTGTAGGTTTTTTCGGGCTATATGGCCATGTTCTAGAGACATTATCTCCTGGAGTTTCACCTGCATCTATGGCAAGCCTCCTCAGAGTTACCTCTGAGGATGCTTGCCGTAGATGCAGGCGAAACGTCAGGAGAGAATGCCTCTAGAACATGGCCATATAGCCCGAAAAAACCTACAACAACCCAGTGATTCCGGCCATGAAAGCCTTCGACAATACATTGTGTGGTCTGTTGGGAACTAGGAAAAATGCGGTTTATATATCTGTGGAATGTCCAGGGTGGGAGAAAGAACTCTTGTCTGTTTGAGGCAGGTGTGAATGTTTCAATTGGCCACCTCGATTAGCATGTAACAAGTAACAATTGTATGAGGATAGTTGATGCATATATCTATGGCTACCCGTATATTTGTATTTTATTTTAAGAGGACTAGATGTATGTTGTATGTTGTGTCTGCACTGTCTGTTTTTGATAAGGCCAACTGGCTAATCAATAAAATTGTTGTTATTCCCTTTTGATCATGAGGGGTTTCTCTTACCAATCTGAATGCATATTTATCTCCAAATCTCTATGCTACATATACATACTGTCTATTTTTATGCTAAATGGTGTTGGTATTAGAATAACATCCCTGAATGTGATGAAACACCCTTTTCCATAGAATGAGAGAGAGAGCAAATAGGAATATTCTCTGAATCTCTAGAGTAGAGCAGGGTGGAAATAGTATTGCTATGTCTTTCAGGAATGAAACTGATGCTATGATTATTAGCGAATGGAATGTGTAAGAATCCAGGCCTATGGTTTGGGATTATAAAGAAAAATAAATACTTCTTGTTATGTCCTTATCAACTCATTGAAAACAAGGACTCTAAGCAATGCCAACTCAAGCAATCCAGAAACATTTAATCGACGCAATGGAATATTGATTGAAGAATCAAGAAAAGATAGAATCAAAATGAAATAGTTCCTCTCTAAAATTAAATTGCTCAATAAAATAGTTATCCTGCATACTCATGTATAAGTCTAGAAATTGTAATCAAAAATCAACCCCAGAAACCTGGGTTGACTTACTCATGGGTCAATGATAAAAGTAAAGGTTTCCCCTTGACATTAAGTCTAGTTGTGTCTGACTCTGGGGGGTGGTGCTCATCTCAATTTCTGAACTGAAGAGCCGGTGTTATCTGTAGATGCCTCCAAGGTCATGTGGCCAGCATGATTGCATAGAGCGCTGTTACCTTCCCACCGAAGCTGTACCTATTGATCTACTCACATTTGCATGTTTTCAATCTGCTAGGTTGGTAAAAGCTGGGGCTAACAGCAGGAGCTCACTCTACTCCCTGAATTCGAACCACCAACCTTTCAGTCAGCAAGTTCAGCAGCTCAGCGGTTTAAGCCGCTGTGCCACAGAGGGCTCCAGTCAATGAAAAAACTGTACCTTAAATCTTATTTTTAAAAGCAACTTTTTTCTTCTCTTAGTAGAATGGCAAATGGCAAGAGTTCAGTCCATCCTAAAAGAAGCTAAAAGAAGCATCAATCCCCTCTATTCTCTCTGCTTTGCTTCTACTTCTAAACATTTTGAAACAATGAGTAGGAAAATGTTGGTGGCAGGTAGGGTCAAATCCTCCCATAAATCAGCATTGGTGCTTTCCCATCCTCTCAACACTCATGGGTCATATAAAAATCTATAATATTGGCCCCAAAATGTGCCCTCAACTTATACATAAGGTGTGTGTGTGTGTAAAGTAGTTACAGAATAATTCAAAGCAGCTCACAGGCATGTGTAGTGAAGTTCCTTGCACTGTGATGCCTGGCATGAATTTCAGTAATATACATAAGGGAAAAGGAAAAGCTAGGTTTTTCACATGTCCCATTAACAAATTTTTAATAGGTGGGATCACAGGCATTTATTATTATTTATTTCATTATTTACTAGCTTAGGGACCCGGCGCTGCCCGGATTATTTGAGAAAGTGGGTAATGGTGGTTCTGTATGCCAAGTTTGGTCTTTATTGGTCATTGGATGACTGTTGCATTGTTTTCAGGAAGTGAGTGAAGGTACTGCAAGTCCCATCATCCAAAGTCCATCCTCCTTTAAACTGCAGCAGGATGTAGAGTGGGTCATGGGGGCTCTATGTGCTAAGTTTGGTCTTGATCAGTCATTGGATTAGGGTCGCAGTGGTTTCAGTAAGTTAGTGAAGGTACTGCAAGTCCCATTATCCATAATCCACCCTCCTCCAAACTGAAACAGGATGTAGATAAGGTCATGGGGGCTCTGTGTGCCAAGTTTGGTCTTGATCGGACATTAGATGAGGGTTGCAGCAGTCTTGGGAAGGGAGTGGAGGTACTTGAAGTCCCATCATCCATGGTCTGTCCTCCTCGAAAGTGCACCATGGAGAGTGGGTCATGGGGGCTCTGTGTGCTAAGTTTGGTCTTGATCAGTCATTGGATGAGGGTCACAGCGGTCTCAGAAAGTGAGTTAAGGTATTGCAAGTCCCGTCATCCATAGTCTCCCTCAAACATCATCAGAATGTTGAGTTGGCCATGGGGGCTCTCTGTGCCAAGTTTGGTGTTTATTGGTATTTGGATGAGTGTCACTGTGGTTTCAGGAAGTGAGTGAAGGTACTGCAAGTCCCATCATCCATTGTCCATCCTCCTCCAAACAGCACCAGGATGTAGTGACCCGGTGTGCCAAGTTTGGTCCTTATCGGAAATTGGATGATGGTTGCAGTGGTCTCAGGAATTGAGCGAAGATACTGCAAGTCCCATAATCCATGCTTGATCCACAGTCAAACCACACCAGGGCGTAAAGTGGGTCATGAGAGGTCTATGTGCCAAGTTTGGTGTTTTTCAGTCATTGTTGAGGGTCGCAGCAGTCTCGGAAAGCGAGTAGAGGTACTTCATGTCCCATCATCCATGGTGTTCCCTACTCCAAACCGCAGTAGGATGTAGATTGGGTCATGGGGGCTCTGTGTGCCAAGTTTGGTTTTGATTGGACATTAGATGAGGGTTGCAGCAGTCTTGGGAAGGGAGTGGAGGTACTTGAAGTCCTATCATCCATGGTCTGTCCTCCTCGAAAGTGCACCAGGATGTAGAGTGGGTCATGGGGACTCTGTGTGCCAAGTTTGGTCTTGATCAGTCATTGGCGAGGGTCTCAGTGGTCTCAGGAAGTGAGTGAAGTGACTGCAAGTCCCATCATCCATTGTCAAATTCTTCCAAACCACACCAGGATGTAGAGTGGGTCATGCGAGCTCTCTGTGTAAATTGTGGCCTGATCCATCATTGTTGGCAGTTGTAATGGTCTTAATGCATCATGGAGACTCAGTGTGCCAAGTTTGGTCTTTATTGGTAATTGGATGAGGGTTGCAGTGGTCTCAAG